TCCACCGCCTCTCTGGGCAACCTGTGCCAGTGCCTCACCAGCCTCGATGTAAAAAAATGTCTTCCTTATATCCAGTCTAAATCTATCCTCCTTTAGCTTAAAACCATTACTCCTTGTCCTGTCACAACAGGCCTTGCTAAAAAGCCTGTCCCCATCTTTCCTGCAGCCCCTGTCAGCACTGCCAGGCCGCACTCAGGCCTCCCCGCAGCCCCCTCCTCTCCAGGCTGAGCACCCCCAGCTCCCCCAGCCTGGCCCCGCAGCAGAGGGGCTCCGGCCCTCGGGGCATTTCTGTGGGCTCCTCTGGCCCCGCTCCAGCAGGTCCATGTCCCTCTTGTGCTGAGGGCCCCAGAGCTGGGCGCAGGGCTCCAGGTGAGGCCTCACCAGAGCAGAGTGGAGCAGAGCGGCAGAATCCCCTCCTTTGACCTGCTGGCCACGCTGCTTTTGATGCGGCCCAGGATATGGTTGGCTTTCTGGGCTGCATTATGTTCAGATGCAATTTTCTGTGTTTCAGTTTCTCCCCACTGGCTCTTGTCCTGTCACTAGTAGCACTGAGAAGAGTCTAGCTTTACCATATTTGCACCCCCCCATCAGATATTTATAACCAACGATAAGATCCCACTAAGCCTCCTCTTCTCCAGGCTAAACAGCGCCAGCTCTCTCGGCCTCTCCCCGTACAAGAGATGCTCCACTCCTATATGGAGTTGCTGGAGCGAGTCCAGTGAAGGGCCATGTCTTTTTTTTTTTCCTATATCATCTTCTATCACCTTTCCTGTACATTCACATTGCCTTCTGTTAGCTTTGTTTTCTAGCACCTTTCATCTTGAAGTATCTAGGCCCTCTCAGGACTTGGATCCTTAAAAGGTCATTACAGGAAACACTCTGCATTGTATGGATGAGTGGTAGCTAGACAAAAAAAAAAAGATTAAAAATATGCCTAAGTCATTAGCTGAAGATACAGGTAAGAGTTTTGCTCAGAAATTGCCAAGTCATCCAATGATTATTTTTTACTTTCACGGCAAGGCAATAAGCTGTATGAGTTTATCACCTCCAGTTCTGAAACTGCATGAGCTAATAGGTAGATAATAGATATACACGTTCAGAATGGATGCAAATGCCATAAAATTATAAACTATTTACTTAAAATACAGATGAAGAATCTTGTTTGAACTCACCACATCTAACTCAGCTTCCTTTTTAAAAACCGAATATGCCTCTTCATAGCCATTAGAACGAAGGTAATCTGCTATTGCTCGATTTCTAAAAAACAAAGAACAGTATCTTCAGCCACAATTCTGAGTAAGAGAGTAGAAGAATTGGTTCAGACTTTTATTTTTAAAAAGGCACAATCAACATCTAAGTCTTCAATGCAGTACAACACCCAGGATTATTAGGTTTGTTAAAAGCCCAAGAAAATTTTACAAATACCTTTGGCAAACAGATTTTGCTTCAAGATGTCAATAGCAGGATACACTTTTTATTTTAGGCCTGGTGACGAGGGGCTTTTTTTTTTTTTCTTTCAAGTTGTCAAACACTGGAGTAGCATTAATATACTCATCAATCTGTATTGTATATAAAACCCATAGCAGATACAAAAGTGACAACCACGTCCACATTTTAAAGTTGTGGCTTTATCTTTGAAGAAAAACTATTTTGGGTAGAACAGTTTAGGGTACAAAATTTTACTTGAGTTAAACTTGAATAAAATGCTCAGTTTAAAGAACAAGTCTTATCTTTGTTTTTCAGAATGATACAATAACTTAGTTAGATTACAGGAAGGGATACTGCCTGTGACCAAAATATACAGTGCTTCAAATTTTACATTATTCTTCAAAATACTCTGCACTTTGACACAAGACATTTACCAAATTAATCTGTCTTGAACCTCTCTCTCAAGATAGCATGCATTTGTTTTGGACCCACTCATAAAGTTTCAATATTATTCTAAGACTTCAACAAGCAGTCAGCACCTTTTGTTTAAGAGAACAAGACTAAGGAAACCCTGCATTTTCAAATGTTACTTCAAATGGATAAATATTTTCAAGTTACACAACAAAGAAAGTCTGCTTAAGAGAAGTAAGCACAATGTTCTAAACAGACTTAAAGGTAAAATTACTTTCAGTTACTTTATCAGCCTTCAGAAGGAAGGCTGTTGTATTTCATTATCACTCAGTTTCTTGGGAAGGGATATGTGTGTGTATACATACCTATATGGGGAGGGCAGGGAAGATATACACATACTAAAATATTTAAGTAAACTGATACACAGATACTTTTTAAAAACAAAAATAAGAAGGTCATCTACACAAGGCATTCAAGAAAAAACTAATGCCCTTTGGTAGCTGAAGAAAGAAGCAATAATGGCTTTTTGTTCTGAAAAGCATTTGCTTTTCACATGAAAATTCTTCCTGTGGCTTTCATCACATTATTCTTTCCTACCTTTTACACGCATTCAATCTCTCCTCAGACATTCGACTCTAAACATAACTCTGCATACAAGCAGGGATTTCACATTTCTCCCCATAAACAACATACGCTAAAACAAAGTATTGCCTCCTCATCAGACCTCTAAAGTAAATCCTAAGTCTCTGGTCATTTCTCATTTCCTTCACAACAGTTCATTACTTCCATCTCCCCAGTAATGCATGTACTCTTTGAAGTTTTTGCCAGAAAAAAACTTCAGAGAATTGCTAAAAGGAAAAAAAAAAAAATTGTAATCCTGAATGTGTTTAAACCCCAGACCTTCTCCAAATCTAATGAACAACCAGTTGTAAAAATCAAAATTTGAAGATAGCTTCTACTCTACTTTAAGAAGTAGAACAACCTTATTTAAGTCTATGAAACGAAAAAGTAAAATGCATACTGTATTTAATACAAAGGGGGTTGAATTGTTACTGGAAAAGTGAAGAAGCTGTATTAAAAAAAAAATCAGAGAGACAAGAGAGACACCAAATGCTAAATGATACTTGGGCCATACTTTTAAAAGGAATAAAAAACCAAAACCAAGCCACAAACTCTACGTAAGTTTATGAAACTGGGTATCATGCGAGACATTGCCATCCTGACTGCTACCCACCACTCACTCCATCATGATTTATTCCAGAAGAGAAAGCAGACTAAGGCATGGAACTTGACAGCCTATTCCTAGCCTTAAAATCTGGAAAGAATTCCATATCTGAAATTGAATTAAGGTGGGGGTTTCTGGTGGGGGGGTTTTGTGAGGTGGGTTTTTTATTATTTTGTTTGGGGTTTTGTGCTTTTTTTTTTTCCCCACTTTAAATATACCCTTCATTTTAAATACAATTTAAGAAGTCAAAGAAAGATTGTAATCACAATGTAGCATATGAAAATGCAACACAAACTTAAAAATAACCATTCCTTACAGTTCATCTCGTTGCCTTTGTGACAGCACCATTGTGGCTGCGATGTCAGGTTAACGTGATTCAGCAGTGGCTGCCTCCTCAAGATCTAAAGTCTTAGGAACCCTGGATCCACAATTCAGTCTGCCACTGAGTGGCTTAAATCAAAAATATTTTTCCAGACGTGAAATCCAATAGGAAATCCGGAGGCATTCAACGCAGAAGATTCAATCCATCTAGGAGGTAGAGAAAGAGACACCATTAATTTCCTTTACATAAGCATTCAGTCACTCTGGACTGCCATGAAGATTTCTGCACTTGGACAGCAACACCACTCTGGACAGAACAAGGCGACTAAAATCGTAAATGCAGTTTTATTTTGCTAGTCTGCATTATGCCCTTATAGCATATCTCCAGCCTGGACTGAGCAACCTGGAGGGACTTGTGCAGTTTCTTTATTCCTTGTCTTCCCACCATCACTCCTTCAAGAAACAGGGAGCTGAAGGAGACATCTTCAGTCACAGCCCAGTTCTAGTTTGTAGGCAACTCCATCCTATTTTCTTGTCATAAAAAAAACACTTGGGCCTACCGTAAACAGCCTACTTTTTGCACTCACTACTCCGATCAAAAAGCTACCCCCCAAAATCCTCTGTCCTTATTGTAGATTTTTTTAATCTTCTGTAGATTTAGCTCTTCATCAAACTAAACCCAGCAAGGTTCATTCAGTTAATTTTCAACACACCCTAGAGATCAGCTAACGCTCTCCTATGTCTTTCAAGCTTTGGGGCAGAGTTTAAGGAAAGAAGAGAACATTCCAGAAAGGGACTATGGAAGATGCTACGGCACACTACAGGCCATAACCAACAGCATCAAGGCACACTCAAGTTTGTCACTCATGCTACGAATGAGCTACGTACTAGACAGCTCTCTAGGACTTACCCAAACAGCATCTTTGAAGGCTACGGCTGTAATTCAGCACATGAACTTTACAGGTAGATTATTACACAATTATATTAGACAAATTACTTTTTCTATTCCAGTCACACCATCTGAAGAAGTTCCAGAGAACCACGATGTAAGAGACAATACTTGCCTTTTCAATCGTGTGTTAACATGGTTTACCTACAGTTAATCTTTTATCTTGGCCATATGTGGAGTACAGCAAATTTTTAAACAGATCTTCAATCTTATCAGAGTAGCACAATTACCATGGTGCAGAGCTGCCACAAGCCTGTACTTCAGCTGGGTTCAGACAGTGTGACTCGATCACTGCACATCCAACAATGCAAGCTAATTCAGAATATAGCTGAAATTTGACGTATTCAAGATAGTGTTCAAGTCAGTCAGAATGGTGCCTTTCACAAATTACTTATTCCGCCCCCCCATTTAATATCTTCTTATGCAGTAACATGAACTTCAGTATTCTTAGCATACAATCTACTTCAACTGAACAGTTTTAATCTTAGTCAAGGCGACATCACCAAAATAATTTTAGCAGTACTGCCTTTTGATTTCTGCACTGCAGGTACTCTTTTGTAAGCAACACGATTATGAAAAATGCTGAAGTTCGCATTTCTTGCATACCTGACAAGAGTCTGTATATAACACATGATTTACTCAAGCCATTAAGCAAGTTTGACCAACTGGCTTTTAGCAACGAGATAAACTGAACACGACAATACCCAAAGACTGAGAAATAATAGTGGGGTTTGTAAACTTTCTACCAACTGCTTCAGGAAACACACGTTCCCACTGCCTCTCCCCTACTGTTTCTCCACTAGACATACAGGTATACAAGGTTCACTATAAAAGGCGGATAACAATTTTGGTGAGGAGCTTGTTTTAAACCAAAGTCTGTCTTATATGGAAAAAATGAAGAAAATGCTAAGCTCATATCCTTAACGTCTACTTATCCATCACAGGGGATCAGGAGCTTGTTTCTAAACCTATCTAGGCTCTGCTGTCTGCTTCAAAATAAGCTTAAGCTGCAAGTTGCTTGTATTTCACTCTGCTGGTGGATTTTCCACGTCAAATGCTGTACACCATAATACTGCACTGCAAGCCATATAGGACAGGAGTAGTCTAAATGGGCAAGACATTATTTAACTAGTTTGACCTCTTCCCTAATAGCTATTTCGGAAACAATTCCATTGAAAACTGATAGCACAGGCTGCATCCTTTCAGAGAACAGAAGCAAACATTTCACTTATACCTGTCAGAAAGCGAGGTATATGAGACAAGAAGAAGAGACAACTGGTTTTCAACAGATGTATCTTGTTCACTACACTGTAGGAGTATTGCATACAAATTAATGGCAATTTAGTTAATACAAAAAATAATCATTGAAATTATCAGAAGAAGTGCCCTCTAGAGGGCAATGCTGCTATAAATTTAAGTACTGAAAAACAGAGGCTTATAATGGCTGTATCTCTGCACTTCAGTATGAACATAGCAACGCTTTCAGTAGCGATAAACATTGTGAAGAACAAAATAAGGCACTTTTTTATACACAGCAGCACTGTTTGCATCACTGAATAGTAGAACACAAAGATATAAGCTTCCAAAATCTGCTTGTAGTACTACTGTGGTAAAAATCACACTATTAAAACCAGAAGGTGGCTTTTGTGTTATGAACCACCATAAGCAGTGAATGCCTTGTGAATCCAGCATCTGTGCAGTAACTCCAGTAAAAATCATACTCCAATATTTTGTCAATTTTGTCATTGCGTCTAGGAGATGCAACTACAGCGCTTGCTTAAAAATAACTGCAGTTGTGTTTGTAAGACAACCCTTGACATCTCATCAAGTTCAAAAGGCATTTTTCCCCTCTCACATGTAAAGTAACCCCAAACTTTTCCTCCTGTATCCCACTTAGCAGCACCTGGCCTGCTCCATCGCTCTAACTCAGAACTGTTACTCAGAAACAGAACTTAGTACTAGATAAATTTCAACAGCTACAGGGCAAAGCAGCTGTTTCTGCTATTAGCAAATTACAGCTGATCCACAGTAAGTTACCAATCAACTGATCTACAATGTCTTGCTTCTCTGAAAAGTGTCTGTTCCAAGCACCCTTCTCAGTATTCCTGACTTTTTAACTACGAAGGCACCTGAATATAAGGCACAGTATTTTTAGGGCAGCTTCCTTCATATACAGCCTTTAACAAAAGACAAAACAAAAAAGAACAAAAAAACAAACAAACAGGAAAAAAAACCCCAAAACCCACAAACAAACAAAAAAACCCCACCCAAGCAAAAATGTCCAAAACCAAAAAGCCAAAAGGACCCAACTTTAATTATACACCTGTGCCTCTTTTAGAAGCAACAGAGAATGGATGAACACTGTCCATGCGCACTGCCTTTTCTTTAGCCCGAGAAGGCTTTGTGACATACAAAGCTCAGTGGAGCAGGACTAACCAGTCCTCCGCCATTGCCTATCAAGGTTTACAGTCACCGCTGTGTTACACACACACCCACAACCACTGCAGTAATGAGAGGAAGCAAGTGTTCAGAGAACCCTTGGGGAAAAAAAAAAAAACAAAAAACACACCACCCAAAACACCCACAAAAAAACACCTGTTCATTACATCTTGCCTGAAATCGGTCATTTTTAATATCAGCAGCTTACTGTGAATAAGGTAGTGTCAAGCCAGAGCTAGATCTTTTTTGAAAGAAAAGATGTCTTTGTATGAAAATTTTAATTTGTTCTGCATAACGTACAGGAAAAAAAATGAACCTAAATAGAGCCATCCACAGAGTAACAGCCACTAAATGTAAAACAGGATGTGCCTTTTATTAACAGCCCCACTTACACTGCAGAAAGTTTTAGTTTCTAAGACCTATTTGATTCCATATCTATAGCCTGCATATATAAAAGCACTGAGTGGCAAACCTCTGCATGTGTACAATCTTGCAACAAAAGTGAGCTACAAGTGTTTTCAGCAAGATCAGTTGTCTTTATGGGCATTTTAAAATTGGGAGCTAGACCTGGCTGAATGCATAACGCTGGCACAGGTACGACACATCAAATGCTTGCCTCCTGCTTCTCCTGGCAGTACAGTATCTGCTCAGTTTTCTAGAATGTACAGGTACCTGGGGGGAGAAGAAACACAGACATTACCCGCTGCAGTTTAGGTAGGCTACTTTTTTATGAACCAACACAAACCTTTCGAAAACTGTATGTAACATCCTCCTCAGCTCCATTAATAGCAGCATATCCTCAACAGACAACTCCACCTCAACTGCTAACTCTTCCACTTCGCTAAAGATCAGCTTTTACGCTTAGGACTGGTAGAAATGCCTAGGCAATAAGGATAAAAGACCTATTTCAATCCTTAAGTGCTGTAGGACTGGAGTGGCATACTAAAGCATAATATTTTAAAATTAAATAAATAAACAAACAGCCAAGAATCATCACAGGCCAGAATGTTTTTC